AATTCTGTTTAGGAATACTTGTACTCCAAGCAATTGTCTGGTGGATGATTGCATTGGATAAATACATTCTAGGTTGTGTCTCACTCAAAGCTGTGAAGCAAGAGTGTGTGAGTTCCTTGATCAAAGCTGTGAAGCAAGATCAAGGTGTGTATGAAGTGTCGCTTCATATTGAATTTTGTAATTGTGTATTGAAATCACTGTTGTGTGATTGAGGGGGAGTGAGTGAGTATACTCAGGTACTAGAGTGTCTCCAGGCTGAAATTGCACTGGGTAGAGATTAAGTGAGAAGTGCAAACTGGTTGTTTGACTTTGAATTGATTATGCTAATAGTGAATTTCCTCCCTGGCTTGGTAGCCCCCAGATGTAGGTGATGTTGCACCGAACTAGGTAAACAACTACTGGTGTTATTTATCTTTCTGCATTTACAATTATGCACAATTTAAATGGTTAGATAAATAGGTTTGTCAGCCTGCAGATGTCACAACAGAGGTCATGACGTTGGTTATGACATTGGTACAATTTAAAGAAATTTAAATTGGTCATGATATGTCTTCGTCCTTGTTTCAGCAGAGATCAATGTTCTTGGAACACATGAAATCTGCATACCAGAATCTCACTTTTAAAAGTTTTTCGTGTCAACATGCATCTTCACAAATGTACCTCTTTAAAAGAAATTATTTAGAGGCCTTCTATTCTCAATCAGTTGAAATGCAATACAGATGGCGTTGCTATTGATTGCCCCGGGTTTGACCTCTTGTATAGGCGTTTTTAAAAATCACAAGGCAAATTTATTAGGAGGCTTTATTGTCAACTTAGATATAAACAAGGCTTTTCGTGCTGAGCTTCTTGAGGTCATACATGCTATTAAATGTGCTCATGCTCGGGGTTGATGGAAGATGGGATCAAAACTAATTAAAAATTAGTCATTTTGGATTACAACTCTCATTCTTTGGTGCCATAATATTTAAGAAACAAATGGAACAATGACTTAGTCTTAACCAAAGACATGGATTTCATTATTTCTCATATCTATAGGGAGAGCAACTACTTAGCAGATAAGTTAGCAAACTTATATCTTAACTATTCTGGTTTTACATGATTTCAGAGTCTTCTTAGATATGTTTTGGCTTTGTATAATTGTAATAGGTTGGGTCTTCCCTACTTTAGGCTTGGTCTCTTTTGATATTTTTGTATCTTTGCCCTTTATAATCTATTGGTGCAACTATATCTCACCTTTGCTTAACATTTTTTTTTATCGAAATAAATTATAAATTAGTAGAAAAATGACAATTACCAAACAAATTATTTTTAAACCTAAAAACTAATAAACTATAATACATAATTTATTAAAAAAAGAAAAAGTCTTGCCGAGAGCATGCCTTAATAGAATCTCACACCTCAAATATGTTTTTTCATTCATAAAATTCCAATGAAGACATTGTTTAAGACATGTTTAGTTCAACTTATACCTTTGTAATGTTGATAAATAAATACAATTCACTTTAAATCTAAAGTTAACATTTTCCTATGATGTAAAAGCTTAATGGACCCAAAAAATTCCATGAGAGTAAAACCATGGAAAACGAAATAAATGAAACTAAAAAACGCCTTATACGACAGAATTTGCTTGTGGAACACTGGACCGCGTGAATGGATGGACAAAAAGCCAAGAAAAAACATAACACACATTGAATTCATGAAACCTTGCACATGGTTGTCTTTGTTAGGCCAATCTACAAATTTGAGACTAAAATTGAGTGCAAGATTTTGTGAAAGATCTTGATTGTGCCTTGCCAATTATGTGTGCCATTTTTCAATGTTTCATAAGGATATGTGGTTATAAGTATATATCATGTTATCCAAATATGCTATGTTATAGGTTAGATTAGATGCTACCGACCACAATTTATCTTATCATTTAGTGTGAATTTTTATATTTGAAGATGAACCTTCAAAAAGGTAACCCAGTTGTGATCATACGTGTAGGATTTAGATATGACATTTAGTGTTGATAAGGTAGTCCTACATGTTTTTGTGTATATGGTTTACTACTCTTTCTATTGTGTATATGGAGAAAATAGGAATATGGATTTACTGAATAATAAGAGTTGTGTGCTCATTCCATTGAAATTGAGAACATATATCGATTTTTAAGAAAAGAGTTATTGAAAATATGTAATTCAGGAAAGGAAAATTTCAGAAATTTTTTGAACAAGAAAAATATTATTACTAAAAAAAATAATCAATACACGCCGATCCAAAAGGTCCAGGCCACAAGACGACACAACTACATAAAACAACAAGAAAGCCAACAATAAGCTATCAGCTTCCTATTTTCTTCAATTTTCATAAGCATGGTCTCTCTAAGATGTTTACTGTTCAAGGCATCTATATTACAATCTTGAAAGATAACCTTATTTCTAACGTTCCACACATGATAAACAGTCTCAGCTATGGCCATTTTCAGAATTTTGGTCTGGCTCCCTTTGCCACGGGTTGTATGGAGAATCCACTGCAATTCAGTATGTCACCCACCAGGATTGTGATCCACCCCAAATCTAGCCAGGACTTGATTCTGCACATTTTTTGTACCTGCACTTTCGAAAAACAAATGATGGCAACTTTCCTGCAGTTGACAAAATACATAAACCCCACCAATGTTCATTCCATGATTATGCATCCTATCTTTGGTCAATAGACGGTTCTGGCATGCCATCCACAATGTAAAGATTGCTTTAGGCCTGACAAGGTTATCAAAAAACAATGTTCTCCAATCCACTTTAGGCTTATCACCAATATATAAATTTCTTTTAGAGCTGCTCATATACAAACCAGTGGTAGCAGAGAAACTTTAGTTTTCTTCATGATCAACTACAAAGAATCAATGTCTCCTCTAGCAAACAAGAGGATATCATCTGCAAAGAATAAATTAATGATCTTTAATTTCTCACATTTTGGGTGAAAATTAAAGTTAGGATTAGTTTGTAAGCCTTGAAAGATCCTATGCAAATATTCCATAATGATCAACAATAAGAGGGGGAGATAGGATCTCCCCTCCTCAGCCCTTTCCTTGCCTTCAGTAATCTAGATGGAGTATCATTGATTAAGAACCTGTAAGAAACACTTAAAATACAAGCCATGACCCAGTTATTGAACACCTGAGGAATTCCCATCTCTTTCATAATATGAGTCAAAGCCTGCCCCTCCACAGTATCATAGGCTTTTTGGATATCCAATTGAACAATACACTTGGGGGAGATATGTTTCCTGTTATATCCTCTCACTAGTTCTTGAGAAAGCATGATGTTATCATGAATAATTATGCCAGGCATAAAGGCTGATTGAGTGTCTTCAAACTTTACCAAGTCTTGATGTTAGGATTTTGGAGATGAGCTTGTAAATAATGCTACATCAAGAGATTGGTCTCATATCCTTGATTGTTTTAGCTTTAAGGGATTTAGGGATCAAAGAGAAATTAATGGCCTTATATATGTTACTGGTATAAAAAAAATCTATAACATCAGCTTTGACATCAGCTTTCTGTTAGATGCCCAATTTTGCTTATTTGAGCTATCAGATGTGGGCATCTTTCACTCCTTTTTGTCCAGAAAGTTTTCAAAACCGCCCTTACTTTTGTTTATTTGCAATATTATGTGAAATGATCTTGGTACCTTTAATTTGTGTGTTATTGTGCAGTAATCAGGCATAAAAGAGTAGAAATGGAAGACACAAGAAAGATGACAAAGGAATCAAGAAAGAAGGCAAGCAAAAGCAAGCTCGCTAGGCGAAGCTTTGGCGAGAGAGGTAGCGAGTTGTACGCTAGGCGAGTACGTAGCGAGATGCCAGCGAACACTCCCAGACTTGGGCAGTAGCAAAAAGAGCTGATTTAGCTAGAGCGAGGAAGGTAGCAAACTTTTCGCTAGGCGATCACTCAGCGAACAGGTAGCGAGTGCTTCCTGAACCAAAAAGTCCAGAACTCGCTGGAGCGAGTGAAGCAGCGAAGGGCTCGCTAGGCGAACCATTATGCTCGCCTAGCGAGCAACACAGGACAACACTTTTCTTTTCTATAAGTAGCATGGGCTACTTTTTGTAAAATATCTTTTTTATCTTCTTTTCAACCACTTTCTTTTGTTTTTGCTCCAAGGTGATTTTTGTGACCTAGAAACCCAATATCTCACTATTCTTCATCTCTTAACAAGATTTTCCAAAAAGAAGGTGGATTCCCATCCAATATCGATTCTTCGACTCAGATGTTGATCAACCTTCTCCCGAAACTGCTTGTGCAAGCTACCATGAAAATGAGTAGCTAAGTCCTCCATTTTGTCAAGGTTAGATGTAGATGATCATAAGCTTTGTATGTAAATGGGTTGATCTTCATTTGTAAACTCTTTGATGATGAATGTATGGTGAAAACCTTGTTTTATTGTTAACTCTTTGTGTTGGTTTATTATTGAAAGGTGTTTTCCAACTCTTTATCTAAGTTTTCATCCATCTATGTTCTTGAGCTAGAGATAGTCTTGAATGTGTTTGTTCACTCAAATGTCAAAACCTAAAAGTTGTCATTTTGATAGATTGTGTGAGAAATCAACAATGGATCAAAATGGGAAAAATCACAATGTGTATTAGAAATAATCACATTGGGAGGATATTGTGAATGTGTTTATCATCTAATGGAGTTTATGAGTTTTGTTTATCGAACATATACATGCAAAGTGATCGTTGAACCCTAACTTTGACAATATTTCTCAAATCGTAAAACCAAAACTTTTACCGCAATTTATTACTTATTTTTATGCAAGCTACCGTAACGAAAAACCAAAACCCCCTTGTTACTATAAGTTAAGAACTTAACAACTATCGAACGGTTGAAATATCACAGATTTCCTGTGGAGACGATAACAAACCCCGATACTCGAACACTGTATCTAACACTTTCACAATTTGCTAGGCTATTTTTAAGAAGTAAACATTGAAGCCATCTATGCCTGGGGCCTTGTTATTCATATGCTAGTAAGGGCCTTCCAAATTTCATTATCATCAACAGGGCTGATAAGCTGTTGGGCATCCTCCTTAGGTAATGTCTTACCTTTTATCACAGTAGGAACATCAATTCCTTTTAAGTTAGAGGAATTAGTACCTACCAGCTTGCTATAAAAGTCAACAATCTTCTTTTCAATATCTTCTTGATTGCTAAGTAACTCACCATTCAGAGAAACCATATTATACAACCCTTTTTGCTTATTTTTTCCCTTCACAGAAGCAAGAAAGTATGCATTATTATTATCTCCCATTTGCAACCAAGTAACCTTAGCTTTCTGCATCATAATACCTTCCTCGACTTGATTCAAGTGGACAATTTTATCAGTATAGAACCTCACTTTCTCAATGGTCTGCTCATCAAATAAATTATGTTGGAGACTCTCTTGGGCTTGATTGAGATATTGTCTAGCTTAAAGGATTTGATTATGAATATCTGTGAACCTCCTAGTCATTTGCTTAAGAATAGGTTGGAGCCTCTTCATCTTGGTCCATAATCTGAGCATAGGCCTTCCAGTCACTACTTGCAAAAAAGAAGGATCGTGAGTTAAACAATTAAGGAATTTAAACATGGACCTTTTTCTTGTTCCTTGCATATTAATACCAACCTTCACAGGTACATGATCAGAGATGTTAGGGGTCAGGTTTTCAACAATAGCATCCTAAAATTTTTGGTACCACTCTACATTACCAAGAACCCTATCAATCCTAGAATATATCACTCCAGTAGTATGTGTATTAGTCCAAGTGTAATGACCACCTTTGGTACTGGCTTCAAACAAACCTACCACTTGCATCATGCTCTTGAGATCTCTATACTCAGCCTCATTAACAGGGTTTCCACCTATTCTATCATGGCTAGATAAAACATTATTAAAGTCCCCCATGACAATCCAAGGCCCTATAATATTGCGGCTCATATTTTTTATATCTTTCCATAAGTTCCTCCTATATTCAATTTGGTTAAATGCATACACCATAGTAGCAGTATAAAGATGAGATTGGTCTAGACCATAGACCTCTACATAAATGAATTGCTCACTGAAAGTGGGGACTTTAGTAACTACTTGAGTCTGGTTCTATAACAGCCAAATCCTACCATTTATGTGGTTATCATAATTATCTATAAAATTCAACACATTTCCAAATTTTCTCAGCATTATGTTTTTTCACCCTAGTTTCAAGCAAGGCACAACTGGGAACATTAAAAGTTGAGATATAGGAACATATCTCTCTATGCCTAGCTTGTTTATTGATTCCCCTAACATTCCATATCACAATCATTGGTCAAGATTGTTGTCTCCCCTAGGATAGTCTCCAATCCTAAGGGGAGTAAAGAGATTCTGATATTTCATAAAAGAGTTATTGGGGGTGTGACTCATATCTTTATTTCCTTTGTCAACTTTCCTAGATGTAACTATAGTCCAATCCTCTGATGGTTTGATAGGTTCTGGTGTCTTCCCTTCAGATACCTCACTAGCTTTTTCCTCTTCACTAGGGACTTGATTGTTATCTTCTTGGTCAACAATATTCGGTTTGTTAGTAACAGGTTTCCACACCTTGGATATCTTCTCATTTTTCATTTTCAAAGCACAATCGTGCCCTATCTTCAGGAATTTTTGGCAGTACAGTGGCTTTCATTCATATTCGATCCTTTGCCTCAATAGTTTGCGCTTGTGATCCCTGATGCATACAGTCTCCTTAGGTTTTTGAGTGATATCTACTTTCACCAATACCCGAGCATGTGAAATGTGCAATTTCTTTGCAGTACATTCATCCGTTGTGATTGGTTTCCCAATCACAATTGTAATTTTTTAGATGCTTTTTCTCCCCAAAGGTTCAATGGAAGGTTAGGCAGTGTAACCCATAGCGGAAACATACAAAGAAGATCTTCCTTCATCTCAAAATCCGGACTTCATTTCCTAATGAAAATTGGTTTTCCATTAAGGTCCTTGTTCCATGACATGTTCCCTATCTTGATTACTCTTAAATCTCACAATGAAGTATCCTTCATCGTTGCAATAGAGATCTGACAGTGAAGCAAAGTTCCAAGATTTTTCCATGAATTTCTTCACCACATTCATCGAGAGAGAATTGTAACACCCGAGGTCGAAGAGCATGGATAATGGTTACATGTTACACCCGAGGGCAAGGGCGTGGCTGTCAGTGCATGAGGCATGACAATGAGACACTCCTAATAGCTTCTAGGGATAAATCGAATTCACATCGAAATGAGAGGGATCTTGAGGTTGTGTAGGTATGGGACTGCGTGGTTTAAGGAAGGCTTATAAAGATTAATCGGTAATACCTATACCAACAAAATGCATCTTCTTTTCGGTAGCCCGTTCCATAAGAATTTTACAGTTAAGCGTGCTTGACTTGGAGCAATTTTGAGTTGGGTGAGCTTCTGGGAAGTTTCTCGGAAAGCGTGTGAGTGAGGACAAGACATGCTAAAAGACCCGTCTTGATTTGTGGGGTAAGTCAATGATCTTGAAAGCGGTCTGGGGCGTTACAAGAATCACCCAAAGCAAACAAAATCATTGCATTTTTCCATAACTCCAATTCCTCTTCAATATCTGAATCTTCAATTTTGATTTCTATTTCACCATTGATGAATGATGGTGCAACAAACTCCACACTCATACCTCGACTCAGCTTTCGATTACCTTGGATTACATCTACCTAGGATTTGTGTTGTGTTTCCACGAGTTTTTCTGGTGATGTAGCTCATTCATTTTCCATATTTCCCTTCTCCTCCCGCGATGTAACCATTGGTGATGGCCTGCAAATCTCCTCTTGTGGCCTAATGGCATCCTCAAGTTTTCCTTCTTCTACATCATTATCGTGTTCAATTATTTCCTGCAATATTGTTGTTCGTTCCACTCCTTTCTGGTGTGCCACCACATGATTTTTTGGCTAGCCGACGCCCATTTGCCCATGGTTCTTAAACCCTAGCAGAGCAGTTCGAACCAAAGTTCTTAAAAAAAGTTATTTGAAATTATTATTTTAGCTAAAATTTGAAATTATATTTTTAAAAATGATGTGTTTGTCAATACAAGAGTGATTAATTAATTTTTATATACAACTTATTAAATAATATGTCTTGACTTATTGCGAGACATTATGTCTTCATTAAACTCTAGAATGTGTTACTATGCTTGTGCTCACTTCAATATTTATTATAAGATTTGTTTCTATTTTAACTCTTCCAAAAGTTTGCAAACATTGCATTTGAAAAAGTATTTTAAGGTTTTAAAAAGGATATAGTATTTGGTAGGGTGAAAAACGGGTACGCACTCCTTATTTATACTTGTCCCGCAAAAGACCGTAAGACCTTGATCCACCCAGCAAAAAAGTGAAGGCAGAGCAGGCCCACGGGAACTGCCCTTTTTAGCCTAAAATTGCAAAAACTTATTTTATTGCCCACGTCCGTAAAAAGACGGGACAGGGTATGACATACATATTAAAGGGTGCGGGCCTAAAATGTTCTGCCTTGCGAAAAAGTGCAGGCAAAACAAACATGCCTAATGGGTCGGACCCGTTTTGTCACCCCTAGTATTTGGTATATAATAATGATTTGAATCACTCCATATATAATTTTTTTTTGCAAACACTTGGGAGAATGTTTGAGTGAAAGTAAAAGGATCTTACATTTAGGGGGATTATGAGTTGAAAAATTCAGAAATAGTAGTAGAAAAAAGGCACAAAATTGAGAGAGTTCAGATGATACCGTCATGTACTACTAACTACTTGAATTAGTGGATTTCATTTCATTGGGCTACAACGCTCCAGATGTAGGTAATGTTACACTTAACTAAGTTAGCAATTATCTATATTATTTAACTTGTTTATTTCTTCATCTCTCTTCCATACCATATTGTCTCACAGAATGTCTCAACATTGCATGTGACATCTTGTAGTTGACTGAACATAATTTCAATAGGCATCAGAGCAAGCACTCTATTTTGGTTGGGTGAGCTCCAGAGTTTTTTAATCTATTATGTTCAAGATGGACAATGACAAAGGAAGAGTATATGTTAACTGACTGCCAATTCTTGATGGTAATAATTATGGCTATTAGAGGCTTGCATAGTTTATTTTCTTAAGTCTATGGACAACTAGTTAATCCTTTATTACTCACTATATTTCTAAACTTGTATATGAAGGAGGAAAGATTACATGGAGGCTACGAAGGTCGTGCAAAAGCTAGAACTAATTGACTATTGTTATCCAATTTATAAAGGTATCAAAGTTTGAGTTTAACTCAACATATCTATGTGAGTTAAAAGAAGAATCAGTTAGCATGGAAATACACTGAAGTTCTAATAAATATCTAAGACTTTGACATACTACGTGGTACTATAAAGTTGGAAATCCATACAAATATAGACTATCTCTATTCAATCTCGAGATATGATTAAAAAGAGTGGCTAGAGTCCTTACCAACTAGAAGGATAACCACATGGGATGACATACATGAAAAGTTTATGGAGCAATATTTCCTTCCATCTCTATTTGTATGAAGGAGGCAAGAGATATCCAACATCAAACAAAAGAAGGGGGATCATTTAGGGAGGCCTACAAAAGATTTTAGAAGATGTTGGTAGCATGTCTAACAAATAATTTTGATAATACAAATCCGATGCATGTATTTTTGAAATGTCTTGTGGTTCAAAACCAACCAAGTATTAAATGCAGCTGCTGACAATTCGTCAAATTTCAAACTTTCACCAAACATAGGTTGTAATGTGTGTGAAGGATCTCATTTCAATGTGCACTGTGAAGTTCATATTTTTAAAGAAATTTCATATAAAAGAATTAGACAATACTTTATTACCTTGGTCACATAACTTACTTAACGTTAAGTAAAATGACTATCCAGAGTTTTTAAAGAAATTTCATATAAAAGAATTAGACAATACTTTATTACCTTGGTCACATAACTTACTTAACGTTAAGTAAAATGACTTATAAAAATTTCAATGATCAAAACAACTTAATGGTAGGTTTATGACTCATACCAATAGTTTCAGATCCAACAAATTTATCTTTGTTGTCACCTTAAGAAGAAACTTCTCCTCTCTTAGAAGTAAAATAAAATAAAAAGTTTATAACTTCATTCATATGATTTGAACAACCACTATGAATTTGAAATTTTGAATTTGCACATTCAAACATATATGTATCTCAATTTAACTGTTTGACATTTGATAACCAAATCTTTTTGGGTTCTCTTATTTTTTGTGGAATTCATATTATTTATAAGTTGATAATAAACATTTATGCT